CTCCACACAAAGAAAAGAGCCCATCAAATTTTTTAACTTTTTAAAAATTTTAACATCAAATTTAAAGTCAAGAAATAGGCTAGAAAAATGAGCAAAAAACAACAAAAGAACTTGACCATACAAAGTGTATGGTACAGTAAAAGGAAGATCAAAACAGAAACTGGGAAGACAACAAAATCAAAACTCCTACATTCTAAGCCTCAAAGAAAAGGAAAATATGAATTGGTCTCAGGCCCAAAAAGCATTCCCAAAATAACTCAAAAAATAATTTTAAAAATCAAATAAGAAAAAGAGAGAAATTTTTTCAAAAAGAAAGGAGAATCATGTAAGAAAATCATGAAAAGAGAGTCAATATCTTGGTAAAAAGAGGCACAAAAATAGTAAAGAAAATAACACCTTGAAGAACAATAGGCCAAATGGCAAAAGATTTACAAAAAATCACTGCAAAAGATAACACTTTAAAAACCAGAATTGGCCACATGGGAAAAGACATACACAAAAACTCACTCAAGAAAAGAATTCCTTAGAAGGCAGATCCAACATGGAAAAGAAACCACAGGGACATACCTGAGCTCTCCCCTAAATCTCACCAAATACTTTAAAATAATGCCTCAAAACAAATTCTAGAATGTCAGAACCCAAAAAAGGATGGGGTGAAACAATTTTCCAGGCCAATATAGAAGGACAGCAGGAAAGGTCTGCTGCACCAGTATGACAGTGGAGCACAGCTCAGTACAGGAAAGACTGAACCCCAGTAAACCAGAAACAGACCTTGGGGCCACTGTATCAGTGGCAGCACTGGTAGTTTCTGGATCTCTTAGTCCACAGAAGGTAAGGGGGTCAGACAACCAGTCAGAAGATGACTACAGAAATCCCTTTACTGGCACTTGGGGCAAGACTCTGTCGCGCTGCCTATACTTGGATCTTGGTTTCAGTCCTTGGCAGCAGTACTGGGGTGAGGAGGAACAGCAGCACAACAGAGCTTGCACCCAACAGGGGAGCAGGGACCCTTTTCAAATTTCCAGGGCAGAAAAGAGTGCTTGCTGGGGCTCACAGACCAGACCACCCACTGGGAGAGGAGCAAAACCACCTTTCCTTACCACTTTGGAATACCATCTTGGAAGAAATGAAAACTTAGAACTTGCTAGAAGTACCTCTGAAAACAGCCACACAAACCTGCTGAAGCTTGGGACAGTGTGTCCTCCACCTTGAAAGCAGAGTGCCACTCCAGCAAAGAGCTAAAAGTCAAGAAATAGGATGGAAAAGAAGAAAACAAGAGATAAGCCTTCTAACTATATAGAGTTATTATGGTGATAAGAAAGATCAAAACACACGCTCAGAAGACAACAAAGTCAAAACTCTTGCAATCAAAGTTCCCAAGAAAAAAATATTAATTGGTCTCAGACCATGGAAGAGCTGAAAAAGAATTTTAAAAATCAAGAAAAAGAGGTAGAGGAAATATTGGAAGAAAAATGAAAGTGATGCAAGAAAATCATTTTAAAAGAGTCAACAACTTAGTAAAGGAGGCACAAAAATACTGAAGAAAATAATATGAGAAAATATTGAGGGGTATATGGGAAAATTAAAAGACTAATTCCATGTTGGGGAATGCCATGGGGAAGTAGTACAATGACTCAACCATTCTGGAGAGCAATTTGGAACCATGCCCACAAGGTTATATGACAAATTTATTCATTTCCATAAGAAATACTTAGAGTTCTTAAAAGATATCTACATTTATAGGATGTTTGGAATCTTATTTACTATATTACATTTCATTCATTCATTTTTTTATTAATAGATCTATTTGTTTACCTTTATAATCTTAATTTTTACATTTTTATGGTTAAGTAAACCCTAACTAATTTGTACTACAAGGATCAATTTGAACCTGTCTCAATTTCAACTACCACAATTTGTGAATCAGCAGAATCTTGAGACATTAGTATATATGGCATCTAAAACAAGAAAGTGTAACTTACGTAGATTTAATTCGTGAAAGAAAAAGAAAGAAAATCAGTTATTCAGTCATATAAGACCACAATATGGTTACTCTAAAAAGATCACTTACAGTAATGACTTTGTTGAACTCAATCAACAATTTAGTGGATCTTTTTTTTTTTGTCTTTTTTAACAGTATTTTATTATTTCCCCAGTTATATGTCAAGAAAGATTTTAGCATTCCTTTTTACAATATTTTGAATTCCAATTTTTTTTCTTTTCCCCTGCTTTCTGTCCCCTCTTCTGAAAATGGCAGGCAGTTTAATATAGTCTATACATGTGTTGGCACGCAAAAAGTATTTCCATATTAATCACAGTTGTGAAAGAAGAAAAAGATCCAAAGAAAGAAAAACTACCAGAAAGAATAAAGTGAAAAAAAATATACTTTAATCTGCATTTAGATTCTATCAGTTCTTTATCTGGATAAGGATGGCATTTCCCTTAATGAATCATTTATATACTTGTCTTGGATCATAATGTTGCTGAGAAGAGCTGAGTCATTATAGTTGATCACCATTCAATATTGCTGATACTGTGTACTATATTTTCCTGGTTCTGCTCAGTTTACTTTGCTTCAGTTCATACAAATCTTTCAAGATTTTTTGCCTGAAATATGCCTGTTTATCATTTCTTATTCATAATAGTATTCCATTGTATTCATATACTACAGCTTATTCAATCATTCCCCAATTGATGGGTATCCCCTCAATTTCCAATATTTTACCACAATGAAAAGGGCTGCTAAAAATATTTTTGCACATGTAGGTCCTTTTCCCTTTTTCATGGTCTCTTTGGGATTCAGACCCAGTAGTGGTATTGTTAGATCAAAGGATATGCATAGTTTTATAGTCTTTTGGACATTGTTCCAAATGTATCTCCAGAATGGTTGGATCAGTACACAACTCCAAAAATACATTAGTGTTCCAATTTCCCCACATCATCTCCAACAACTATGATTGTCCTGTTTTGTCATGTTAGCCAATCTGATAGGTGTGATGAGGTACCTCAGAATTGTTTTGATTTGCATTCCTCTAACCAACAGTGATTTAGAGCATTTTTTTCAAATGACTATAGATAGCTTTAATTTCTTCATCTGAAAACCACCTGTTCATATCCTTTGACCATTTATCAATTGAGGAATGACTTACATTCTTAAAAATTTGATTCAGTTCTCTATTCATTTTAGCAAGGAGACCTTTATCACAAACACTGGCTTTAAAAATTGCTTCCCAGGTTTCGGCTTCCTTTTAATCTTGATTGCATTGGCTTTGTGCAAAAACTTTGCAATTTAATGTGATCAGATCATTGACTTCACATTTCAGAATGTTTTCTATCTCTTGTTTGGTCACAAATTCTTCCCTCCTCTGTAAATCTGAGAGTTAAACTTTTCCTTAATCTCCTGGTTTGCTTATAATATTCACTTTCATATCTAAATTGTGTACCCATTTTGACTTTATTATGGTATATAGTGTAAGATGTTGATCTATGCCTAGTTTCTGCCATACTATTTACCATTTTTCCCAACAGTTTTTGTTAAATAGTGAGTTCAGGCATACTAAGATCTGGTATGGCTAGGCCACCTTCCCTTGCATTTACTTTTATCAATTTCCTTGCTATTCTGGACCTTTTTTTCTTTCAGATAAAAATGGTTATTATTTTTTCTAGCTCTATAAAATAATTTTGGTAGTTTGAATGACATAGCACAGAAAAAGTAAATTAATTTAGGTGGAATTGTAATTATTATTATATTAGCTCAGCCTGCAAATGAAAAACTGATATTCTTTCAAATTATTTAGATGTGACTTAATTTCCTTAGAAAGTGTTTTGAAATTTTGTTCCCATAGTTGCTGGGATTGTCTTGGCAGGTATATTTCCAAATACTTTATAATGTCTACAGTATGTTTAAATCAAATTTCCCTTTCTATCTCTTGCTGCTAGACTTTGTTAGTAATACATAGAAATGCCAATGATTTATGTGTGTTTGTTTTACATCTAGCAACTTTGCTGAATTTGTTTATTATTTCAAGTAGTTTATTTTTTCTACTTGATTTTCTAGGATTCTCTAAGTATACCATTATATCACCTGCAAAGATTAATGGCTTTATTTCTCCATTACCTATTCTGATTCCATCAATTTATTTTTCTTCTCTTATTGCTAAAGCTAACATTTCTAATAAAATACTGATTAAGAGTGGTGATAATGGACTTCCTTGTTTCACCCTTGATGTTACTGAAAATACTTCTACCTTATCCTCATTACATATAATGATTGCTGATGGTTTTAGATAGATGCTACCTATCATTTTAAGAAAGATTCCATTTATTCTTATGTTCTCTGGTGATTTTACTAAAAATGGGGGTTGTATTTTGTCAAAAGCATTTTTTGCATTTCTTGAGATAATCATATGATTTCTGTTGGTTTTGTTGTTGACATGGTGAATTATAATGATAGTTTTCCTATTGAACTAGCCCTGAATTCCTGTTATAAATTCTATATTGATATAGTTTATTATGTTTACGGTAAGTTGCTATAATCTTTGCTGATTTCCTTTAAAATTTTTGCATTTATATTCATTAGGGAAATTGGTCCATAATTTTTTTCTATGTTTTGATGCTTTCCTGGTATAGGTATCAGCACCATATTTGTATATTAAAAATAATTTGGCAGGACTACTTCTTTGCCTATTTTCCAAAACAGTTTATATAATATTGGAATTAATTGTTCTTTACATGTTTGATAGAATTCATTTCTAAATCGATCTGGCCCTGGACATTTTTTCTTAGGTAGTTCATTGATGGATTGTTGAATTTCTTTTTCTGAAATGGGTTTATTTAAATATTTTATTTCCTCTTCTGTTAATCTGGACAATTTAGTTCCCTATGAAAATAAGATCACTCCAGCATATTAAGAACTAAGTGGAGTAAAATAAGAAATTTTTCTGTTTAAATGTAAATCACATGGCCTTTACTATATCAAGTCTCTTAGGGTAGACTCTGCATTAATTGTGTCTAAACAGCTTGATACCCACCCAAGTCCAGAGGTGGAAGAACACGTACACTGGGATGGTAATCTGCAAGAGAAGACTGTAAAAGCACAGGCTGCTGGTGCTGGTGCAACTATGGGGAAAGTTTTCTTCTACAAATGCAGAGTAAAACAGTCCAGCTAAAGAGATCAGAGGGACAAGGGCAGTCAGTGTGGGTACAGACAGAAACATTTTCCTTGACTGCTTATCTCTTTGTCCTCCGAATGTACCGTGTCCAGCAGTCTGGTGTTCAGGAACAGCCTATTCTTGTTCTTTTTCTTCTCGTTGCTTATTCTGGGGTATCATTCTTTCCTCTTGTGGTATCATATTAGGAATGCCGTCAATGACTGGATAAGCAATTCCCAGTTCTTCATTACTCAGTTCATTTGTTGATACTTCGTACCACAGAGGCTTCTTGGAGAAAGGCACACCAGCACGTGCAGCAGGGCCGCGTCAAAGGCAACCGGAGGCGAAGCCGGGCCGCACTCCGGCCTGTTGGCGGCCGGCCTGGGCCCCCACCGCATGCACTGCCCTGCTCCCTGCGCCAATGCCCGCAGCGCAGACGCAGCTCGTCCCCACTTCCTACTCAGCATGGCCCCTCCCGCGGCGGGGAACACTCGGCGGGCCTCATTCTGGTGCCCTCTCCCAGTCGGCCGACGACGCCACGCCCCCTCCTTTAATTTTCAACATTGTACAAGATTCAACTTCTACAAGATTTTGAGTTCCAAATTTTCTCCACACCTCTCCCCTCTCCCACTACAAGATGATGTGTGTTCTTAATACTGCTTCCTCCAATCTGCCCTCACTTTATCACCTACTTCTCTTATTCCTTTCCCCTTCTATTTTCTTGTAAGGCCGGATACATTTGTATGTCACATTTTCTGCATATCTTATTTTCAAGTGTATGTAAAAATATTTTTAAAATTTATTTTGGTTTATCAACAGTCACTTCCATAACCTTTTGAGTTTCAAATTTTTCTCCCCTCCCTTCCACCTCCCTCCCCAAGATGGTGCACATGATATAGGCTATATATATAAATTACTATTAAACATATTTTCATATTAGTGATTTTGTAAGTAAGAATTAGTACCAATAGGAGGAATCACCAGAAAGACAAACAAAGCACAACAGAAGAAAAAAAAATAGCAAATAGTATGCTTCGATCTGCATTCAAACTCAATAGTTCTTTCATTGAATGTGGATAGCATTTTCCATCGTGAGGTCTTTGGAGATGTCTTAGATCCTTGTGTTGCTGAGAAGGGTTAAGTCTTTCAAGATTAGTCATTGCATAACGTGGTTGTGCAAAGTTCTCCTGGTTCTGCTCACTTCACTCAGCATCAGGCCATACAAGTCTTTCCAAGTTTTTCTTAACTCTGCCTGTTCATCATTTCTTATAGTATAATAGTATTTCAATACATTCATATACCACAACTTGTTCAATCATTCCTCAGTGGATGGTCATCCTCTCAACTTTTTTGCCACCACGAAAAGAACTGCTATAAATATTTTTGCACGTGTGGGTGGTCCTTTACCCATTGGTATGATTTCTTGGGGATACAGCCCTAAATGTGGTATTGCTGGGTCAAAAAGTATGCACATTTTTGTAGACCTTTCGGTATAGTTCCAAATTGCTCTCCAAAATGGTTAGATGATTTCACAACTCCACCAAAAATGCATTAGTGTTCTAATTTTCATATATCTTCAACATTTATCATTGTCCTGTTTTGTCATGTTTACCAATGTGATAGGTGTGATGTGGTACCTCAGGTTCTTTTGATTTGCATTTCTCTAATCAATAGTGATTTCAAGCATTTTTTTCATATGACTACAGATGGCTTTAATTTCTTCATCTGAGAACTGCCTGTTCATATACACTGATCATTTATCAATTGGGCAATGAGTTGTATTCTTATACATTTGACTTAATTATATATATATGTTTTAAAAATGAGGCCCTTATCAGAGAGACTGGCTGTAAAAATTCTTTCCCAATTTTCTACTTTCCTTCTAATCTTTGTTGCATTGGCTTTGTACAAAAACTGTTCAATTTAACGTAATCAAAGTTATCCATTTTGCATTTTGTAATGTTCTCAATCTGTTGTTTGGTCAGAAGTTCTTCCATTCTCCGTACATCTGATAGATAAACTATTCCTTGCTTTTTTCCCAGTTTGCTTACAGTATCAGTCTTTATGTCTAAATCATGAACTCCTTTTGACTTTATTTTGGTGTGAGATTTTGGTCTATGCCTAATTTCTGCCATACTCTTTTCCAGTTTTCCTAGCAGTTTTTGTCAGAGTCAGCTCTTATTTCAGAACATGGGGTCTTTGGGTTTATCAAATAATAGATTACTATAGCCACTGACTACTGTGTCTTGTATACTTAACCTGATCCACCAATCTATTTCTCAGCCAGTACCAAGTAGTTTTGATGATTGCTGTTTTATAATATAATTTAAGATCTGGAATGGCTAAGCCACCTTCACCTGCATTTCTTTTCATTAGTTCCCTTGATATTCTGGACCTTTTGCTATTCCAAATGAATCTTGTTATTATTTTTTTTCTAACGCTATAAAATAATTTTTTTTTGTAGTTTGATATGACACTGAATAAATAAATCAACTTAGGTTGTAATTTTTTTTAATATTTGATTTTAAAATTTTGAGTTCCAAATTCTCTCCCTTCTTCCCTCCCCACACATCCTCTTTCACAAGGAAAGTAATTCTATGTAGGGTATATGTGTGTAGTCATGCACAACATTTCCATAATAGTCATGTTGCAAAAGACTAACTATATTTCCCTTTATCCTATCCTGCCCCTCTTTTATTCCATTCTCTCCTTAGCCCCTGTCCCTCTTCAAGTGTTTGCATCTGATAACCACCTCCCCTAATCTGCCCTTCCTTCTATTATCCCTCCTTCCCTTACCCCTCCCCCCCCATTTTCCTGTAAGGTAAATTAGATTTCCAAACCCAATTGAGTGTGTATGTTATTCTATCCCTAAGCCAAATCTGATGACAGTAAGATTCACTCATTCCCTCTCACCTTCCCCCTGTTTTCCTCCTCTGCAAAATATTTTTCTTACCTTTTCTATGTGATATAATTTACTCCATCATATCTCCCTTGCTCCTTTCCCTGGTACAATCCTCTCTCATCCCTTAATTTCATTATTTTAAGTATCATCCCTTTATATTCAACTCATCCTATATTCCCTACAACTACCTTAAGCCTTAGAAAGGTCTCATGATTTACAAATATCATCTTTCCATGTAGGAATGCAAGCAGGTCAACTTTAATAAGTCCCTTATAGTTTCTTCTTCCTGTTTACCTTTTCATGGTCCTCTTGAAACTAGTATTTGAAAGTCAAATTTTCTATTCAACTCTGGTCTTTTCATCAAGAATGCTAGAAAGTCCTCTATTTCACTGAATATCCATTTTTCCGCCAAAAGATTATGCTCAGTTTTAATGGGTAGGTGACCCTTGGTTTTGACCCTAACTCCTTTGACCTCTGGAATATCATATTCAAAGCCTTCTGATTCCTTAGTGTAGAAGCTGCTAAATCTTGTGTTTCCACAGTACTTGAATTGTTTCCTTCTGGCTGCTTGCAGTATTTTATCGTTTACCTGGGAACTCTGGAATTTGGCTATAATATTACTAGGAATTTACATTTTCTGACCTATTTCAGGAGGTAATGGGTATATTCTTTCAATTTCTATTACCTTTCTGGTTCGAGAATATAAGGACAATTTTTTTTAATACTTTCTTGAAAGATAACGTCTAAGCTCTTTTCTTGATTACAACTTTCACGTAGTCCAATAATTTTTAAATGGTCTCTCTTGGGCCTATTTTCCAGGTCAATTGTTTTGTTTTGTTTTGTTTTTCTTCTCTCAGTGAGATACTTCACATTGTTTTCTATTTCTTCATTCTTTTGATTTTGTTTTACGAAGTCTTGATTACTCATAAAGTCACTAGCTTCCAATTGCTCCATTCTAATTTTTAAGAAGTATTTTCTTCAGTGTGCTTTTGGACCTCTTTTTCCATTTGCCCAACTCTACTTTTTAAGACATTCTTTTCCTCATTGGCTTTTTGGACCTCTTTTGCCATTTGGGTTAGGCTATTTTTTAAGGTGTTATTTTCTTCTGTATTTTTTTGGATCTCTTTTAGCAAGCTGTTGATTAGTTTTTCATGATTTTCTTGCATCATTCTCATTTCTCTTCCCAATTTTTCCTCTACTTTTCTTACTCGCTTTTCAAAATCCTTTTTGAGCTTTTCCATGGCCTGGGACCAATTCATTTTTTTTTTCTTGGAGGCTTTGGATGTAGGAGCTTTGACTTTGTTGCCTTCTTCTGGTTGTATGTTTTGATCTTCTTTGTCACCAAAATAAGATTCTATGGTCTGAGAATTTTTTTTTTGCACTGTTTGCTCATGTTCCCAGCCAATTACTTGAGTTTTTAACTCTGTTAATTTAGGGTTTGCTTCCAGTGCGGAGAATGTACTATCCCAAGCTTCAGGGCTTTTGTGAAGCTGTTTTCAGAGATACTTCTAAGGACTTGTAAATTCTTTGAAGGTGGTATGATAAAAGGTGAGGTGTTATTCCTTTCCTGGCCTGTGCTTTTGTCTGTGAGTGACCACAAGCACTCTTTTTTACCTTGGTTTTGTGAGAACAATTCCTTCTCTACCACTTCCACTAGCTCCACCATGCCATGTTCCACTTCACCCCAGGACTGCTTTCCAGGACTGTGATGCAGATCCAAGCGTAGGCAAAGCAAGAGAATCCTGCTTCATCACCTGAAATCCCTGCAATCTACCTCTGATCAGCCACTTGATTCCCCCTCAGTCTGTAGGCTGGGACTCCCAGAAGCAGCCACTGCCATCTGTGCCAGGATGGGGGGTGGACCATGCTGCTTTCTCACTTAGGTTCAACAGACCTTTCCTACTGACCTTTTAGTTTTCTTTGGCATTTGTGGGTTAGAAGTCAAGAAACTGCCACAGCTCCCCTTGATTCAGTCATCTGAGGCCTGCTTCAGGTTTCCTGAGGCCTGTTCTTTGCCTGTGTGGCCCACAATGAACTGTGCTCCTCTCCTAGCCTGGCACAACACACCTTTCCCATCAACCATCCAGGTTGTCTTGGACTGGAAATTTTTTTCATTCTTTTTGTGGGTTCTGCTACTCTAGAATTAGTTTAGAGCCATTTTTAT